CTATCTATCTATATATATATATATATATATATATATATATATATATATATATATATATATATATATATATATATATATACGATAATATCTATAATAAACACGTTTGTACTGTAAGTATAGTAGAATTTTTATAAATTAAAAAGAAAAATGTTTTAATTCAGAAACTTTTTTTAGACTGTTAATATATTTTATATATCAAAAGAATAATCAGTTTGTTCCTTTTTAATATTTAAAGATATAAAGATGTATTTTATTGACTTTGATGAGTAAATATAATGAACTCAACTGGAATTTGTACCTGGCTCTCTGATTCCTCAATCTTGGCCGCAAGTCATCGTACCTCGTACATAAGTATAAAGGCCTTTACGTTGTATTCTTCATATAATTTTATTTCATTTATCTCTTCATATTTATTTCCCAACACCTCCTAAAAACGCCCACTTTCGTGTCAATGCTTTTCTACGATATATTAAACTAAAAGTAATATTCGATTCAATCCAGATTAATTAAACATTAAATCAGCTATTTCTTCACAAACACCGATCTAGGAAATTATTTTTTATTTTCGAAAGATTTTTTTACTGAAGAGAATTATGTTGTGACGTCATAACTGTCAATATGGAGGATTTTATAGATTTTACTGATAATCCGAAAAAATAATTACAATCATTTTAAATTTAGTTGGAAATGCTTATTGGCAATATTTAATTTATTATCTTAAAATTAAAACTGAAATAAAAGCTTCAAGAAAGATTTTTCCTTTTTTTTTTTCAAATCCATTTCAAACCTTAGACAACACTTTTTTTTTTCGAGGTATATGTTTAAAAATACAAAATAATGAAAAATAAATTCAATGTTAACTTCGATAGCGCCAAAATGCTGTCTATTCCAAAATTCCAATGTCTATTCACACATTCTCAGGTAACAATTGTCTGTGTGATATGAATAGACAGTATCATTTGCAAATTCTAATAACAATGATACTTTGTGTACTCATATATCAGCTTTTGGCATGAAAATAACTATTATTTAGATAACAGTTTCAAAAGTTCATTTAGCTTCTAAATCCACCTTTAACTTTTATATGACACCATAAATATTTAAAAAGTATGTTAAAGTTCCATTAGAATATATGTTGCCATATATTTTCAACTGATTGATACTTTTATGGTGATAGCCTGACTATAACACATGGCCTTTTATAAATGATATATAACAGCTATCCTGTCGTCAACATTAAAATAAGACAATGGTCGGCAACAATGAGAACAATTTAAGATAAGTTAAAAGTGTCAAAAAAATCCATGTTGTAACGCATTGACAGGCAAGAAAATAGAGGAATGAAATTAGAATGAACGAGGGGAAACAGCTCTATAAAATAAGCAACAAACTAATTGTTATAACCTATGGAAGGAAAAAAACAGAAGGAACTGAACAGAATAATCATACGAAGGTTGGTAATGAACGATAATACTTAGGACAAGAATATATATATAAGATATATATATTAGATTAGAAGATATATAAAACAATGAATATAAGAAGTGAGTCAAGTGAAAATCACAATGAAACTCCAACTGCAGGATATCTACCAATATTCCCCCACGCAGTCGGATTAGCACAAGACCGAATTTAATAATAATTATCCGAGCCCGTAGTCTCGGTCAAAAATTCCCCGTAAAATCCGACGAATAAACACGTCCAAAACATAACGTTCAAAAATCAACTACAAACGTAATTACACGTCGATCTAGATTCTTTTTATGTCCTTCCGAGCTTCAAATGAAGTCCAATTGTCAAACCATACGTCTAGTAGAGTTGTTAACACCCACTCGGATACTTTAAGGTGCCACGGTTTCTTAGTTACTATATTAAAAACAAATAAAAAAAATCCGTCTCAAAATGAAATGTTTTTCTCAAAATAATTGGTGGAGAAGGGGTTAAACGAATTAAAAAATATGTCGGATTATAAATTTAAAATGCATTAATTCTCTCTATATATGTATATACAGGTTGCGATATAAATGCCTCCGACATTTTAACGTTTGAGAAAAAGACCAAAAGATCTATTTCACTGTTGTTCAAAGGGCTAAAGTTTTTATTCATTTGGTTTTGAAAATGACATCCTCCAAATGATGGTCTCTATTTGCCATACAGTTTTGTAGATGATTTTTAAAATTTTCCATCACCCTGAAGTACGATATTTTTTCGAGGTTTTATGGTTGGTTTTCAGTTTCGATTTTTTTTTTCAGCGCTGAACATGTGACCATGAAAATTTCAACCTATAGCAGCATCGAATTTCTATCCAGGTGAGCGTCATTCCGACGTAACATGAAACGAGCACAAAAAGCACTCTATGCTGCAATTACAGATTCAATATTCTTTAAAACAAAATTTCAAAAGCAAACGTATATTATGCACCGGTCCAAGCCAAGATGGTAACTTATGGTATGTCAAAAGAAAACGGCAAGACATTAGCTAGATGATGGCACCATTGCCACTTGCCTAATTTTAAAAGCATCACACAGGTGACAGTTTAATATATATATATATTTATATATATATATATATATATATATATATATATATATATATATATATATAAACAATATTTAATTTAAATAATTGCATCTATATTAAAATAACTGTCGGACTTAGTCCATATCATAATATATATATATAATAATTATTTCAACGAGTCTAGCACAAACCTCAAAAGAAAGCAGTGGACGGCCGTTTCGGCCATATTCAGGACTCATCAGCATCCATTACGAAGAAGCGAAACGCGGACTATTACGATACAAGACAAACGTCATACTAACTGTACCAATGAGCCTCGGTGACGAAGTAGTAACAAATTAGACTCGATATAGCGCCTCTTGGTCACATACTCCGTGGTGGAACTCATCCAAGTTTCCCTTACCCATAGGTCTGTGCCTCCACGAGCCACAACGACTATCATCAAGCCTTTCCAAATGGAGCATTAGTGCCGTTTCAAACCAGGATATACAAGTGATAGAAATTAGGAGGATTTAAGATAATCATAATCATTAATGAAATAAATTATATATATATATATATATATATATATATATATATATATATATATTATTTTTTTTTTTTTTTTTAAGCATTTGCCCCAAGCAAGGCGTGAAGCCACTAGGATGCAGGGGGTTGCGGAAGATTTGGAGCGAGAGCAGATAAGAGTGATAGGAGAAAGGAAGAGGAGAAGGATAGTGGGTAGATCAAGGTAACTGGAGATGTCGATTGACATTACATTTGAATAGTTGGAGATTATAGCTTTCAGGGAAACAGTAATTGGGGAGGGTGTTCCACTGGCGAGAGGTGCGAGGTATGAAGCTATTGGAGTAGAAGAGACGGCTACATTTGAAGGTTTCTACGGTGTAAGGGTGAGAGCGGGATGCCAGCCTCGTAGGGCGCTTGAATTCATGGAGTCTGGGAACCAGAGAGAGCAGCTCATCAGAGCAGTTACCATGGAAGTATTTGTAGAAAAAAGACAGAGAGAGGCGACGGCACGTCTGTGAGAGAGTGACTGCAAACAAGACGCTAGATCAGGGCCAATTAGATTACATATCCTTCTCTGGATCTTGTCAAGAACTCCGAGGTAAGCAGAAGGTGCTCCAGCCCATATATGGCAGCAATACTCCATGCAAGGGCGAATGGTTGTTTTATATATTTGAAGTATCGATTCAGGGGAGAAAAATTTCCTGGCTCGGCACAGAGAGCCAACTTTCCTCGCGGTGGAAGAAGCAATTGACTCAATGTATTTGTTCCATCTCAGGTCAGCAGTCAGCGTGAGACCGAGCAGACGCAGGGAGTTGCTCTCAGGAAGTTGACTATCAGACATTTTAATGGGGGGCAGGGAAGGATCTCTATGGTGGTTAATGGAGAGTAATTTAGTTTTAGTGGCGTTAAAGTTGACCAGCCAATTCTTGCCCCAGTTAACAACCGATTGGAGGTCCATTTCAAGACGCACGGCCAGGTTAGTTTTGTCGCCGACACTAGACTTGTTTTTGAGGCAGGAGTAAATTGTAGTGTCGTCTGCATAGATGCCGACCTGGGAATTTATAGCTTCAGGAAAGTCGTTGATGAAAATGAGGAAAAGAGTGGGGCCAAGGATGGAGCCTTGGGGCACACCTGCGTTAATGGGGTAGGAACTGGAGGAGAATCCGTTGAGAATGACCTTCAATTCTCGGTTTGACAGGAATGATTGTATTAGATCAAACAGTTGACCAGTAACACCATACCCCTTATTTTACGAAGAAGGCCGGCGTGCCAAACCCTATCGAATGCTTTGGAGATGTCGAGGGCCACAGCACGAGCCTCACCGTTATTTTGAAGGGCTTGGTAGACGGTTTCATAAAAATGGCCATAAGCACATCATTGTAGATCTGGCGTAGCGGAAACCATATTGCTTGTCTGAGAGCAGATTATGGGATATGGTGATTAACCACTTCGGCATTGATTAGGGCTTATAAGACTTTGCCGAACAAGTAGGAATGAAAGACTAATAGGACGGTAATTAGTGGGGTCAGAGGGGTCTCCAATATATATAATATATATATATATATATATATATATATATATATATATATATATATGTATGTATGAAATTGATTACGATTTTTTCACGACTCATTAATAATAATTATGACTATTTCTATAAAACATAATGAAATAACAATACGTTAAGACATTAATTTTAAACTAAATCACAAAACTACATTTATTTGATTAACATTATATCCAAAATAAATTATGATGAAAAAACTGAAATATTATCCTATAAAATTAAAAATAAGTCTGAATTGTTGTTACAGAGTAAAAAATATAAATAAATATATACTAATATATACTATTAAAATATATACTAATATGTACTAATGAACGTTAAATAGTCTAATGTACAATGACTCTTAATACCTGCAAGGAATTTACATTTTTTTCCGTAAAGACTACCCAAAGACTCTTGGCTGTTTGCCATATCACGTTGAAACACCGATTCCCTTATGATCACCGAAGTTAAACAACGTCGAGCATGGTCAGTACCTAGATGGGTGACTGTTTGGGAATACTAGATGCGGTAATCTTGGACGTGCGGGTGGTGTAATGTATAATGATTCAGAACTGTTAATTGGAGAACCAAGTTTCAATTCCAGGTGGAATCATTATATTCCCTTACGCGCAAATACCATTGGGAAATGTGCCAATCTTCCCTCTGCTCCCTATGGGTTAATTAGTAAGATTTTTATGGCTAAATAATTATTATCTCAAAAACTTCTAACAATCTAAAAATATTTTCTTGCTTTGAATAACCTCCAAAGAGTTGATAAGCCGTAAAAAACGAATCAATCAATAAGCAAAATCGCTTGTTTTGAATGCTTATTGAATAGTATAGTGATATTGTAAGATTTTAAATGTCCAGCTTATCTGGATCTACTTATAGAGATTTTATTGCAACTTGAACAACAGGATAAATCTAGGAAAATTACTTACGTAGTGTCAGTTGGAGTCCTTAGTGTATGGCTACGCATATTACTGGTCAGGCAAGCTTGAGAGAGGCAGACCTGACAACAAATATCACACACAAAAAGTATCTTATCATCTTCCATGAAATATTGACCGTTTCTTAAAAATTTCAAATATTTGGCGTGACTGCACATGTTTGTCTGTTTTCTTTAAAAGTATTTTATAAATATATTTCTATGTTTTAATATTTATAAATAAATCATTCTTCCAATTATCCTGATTGATTTTAAGAGCTTTAAGTGATTCGTATATTGATTTCTTAAAACGTGATTTTGGTTTATGTTGTAGTATTTTAGTTCCTTTATCTGTCCATACGATAGTTGTTTTGGTATGTATTTATCATCCTCTCTCATCAAATTACATGTCCAAAAAAAATACACAAATGATTTTATAACGCATATATATATATATATATATATATATATATATATATATATAATATATATATATATATATATATATATAGAGAAAGAAAGAGAGAGAGAGAATAAAGAGAGACGTTGATAAAGATTTTTGACCCTGGGTGAAACGCCGTTTTGCGATCGTCAGATAAATCCAGAGTCTCAAACTCACATCAACGCAACTAAATATGTTAGCTCTATAATCGATATTGTTTCTTTCCAATATTTATATTCATATATATAATATATAAACAACATATATATAAAAATTATATATATATATATATATAGCTAAATGTGTAGTTTGTCTGACGATCACAAGGGCGAAAAAACCAGGGTCATAAACTCACATCAATCAAACTAAACTGTGTTAGCTCTATCACTGATATTGAGCGCTTTCCAATAAGTACCACGTATATATAATATATACATAATATATATAAAAATTGACATATTATATATATATATATGTATATATTTATATTTATATAAGTTTCGTTAAAGACGACTGACTTTTTTTTACGGCGATTAAGCTTTTTTATTTGATTTTTCTTGTGTTCATACAAGTGTTAAAAACTGTCCAAACGTTATGCATATCCGAGTGCTTTCGGCTATTCTTCTAGCCATTATCAAAAACGATTTTTATTTTTAACTACTTAAAGTAGAAGTTGTTAAATTTAGTGCATCGAATTTTTCCCTAAAATAGCTGTTACATTTTTTCTCAATTTCTGTTTTGAGGAGTTATCATTATTTACACGAGAGAATATAAAGGTGAAACAAGCTTCCCCCTAAAAGCAAGGCTGGTAGAACTTCGAAACGCCATAGTGAGAAATGAAATCCGGTGCAGCTGATGATATATGGAGGGAAAGAGATAATCAACGGCCCTTGTGGAATGGAGCGAAAATCCTGGACAAGGAAGAACATTGAATAGACGTTTGGAAGAATCAGCGCAGTGGCAATCAAACAGCAGTAGCAGTCAAAAATTTGACAGCAGCAGCATTTGCTACATAACCAGCACCAAGGTTAGGTTTAAGACTCTAAGTTTACTACAACAGATTTTCCTACGGAACAATAGTCTAGTGGGTAAAAACGATGGCCTGTGAATTTAGTGATCATCGTCGGACTGTGTGTACTTGGACTCAGTGGAAACTGGCGAGCAATAACAGAACAGTACTAAATAAGAGAACGGCCATATTCTTAGACATGAGCAGTGGAACAAGAACAGTCTAGCTTTGTAGATTGAATAAAGTGTTCAGTTCGGATTTTCCCTGAAGGTTATCCAGGTCGATATATACATTTAAGGAAGGTCGGAGGGCACGATGGCTGAAATATTGTGATAAAGAATATAAAGATGAGATTAATACACCGATTATAAATAGTGTCAATTATATGATAAAATGACACGACAACAAGACAATCTTTTAACACTTTATGACACCATAAAATCGCTTTTAGTGTTTCAATATCAATAAAATAATCTAGCTAAACTTTTTTTTAATAATCTTTTAAACTTTTCATTAAGTAATCTCTGTCTATAAAAATTCATTTATCAGGATTTATGTGTGTGTGTGTGTGTGTGTGTGTGTGTGTGTGTGTGTGTGTGTGTGTGTAACGAATGCACGGCCGCAATTTTCGACGGATTTGCACCAAAATTTATATGCACATGCTCCAAGTTAGCGGGAAGGCCAACACCGACTTTGCATTTCCCAACTCTCATCGATAGTGAAAATAATCGATTTTTTCATGCTTCTACGGCAGTTTTTATGTAGTTTCCGGACATTTTGTACTGGCCAGAGTGAGAGCCTATAGCTGGCTGCCACGAATAGGCAGGAAGATTCTATTGGCCAGCGTGAGAGCCAACAGCTGACTAACACGAATGTTAATTAGCATGCTAGCATGCAAAAAAATTTGATAGCTGCATTCGTCACAAGTGGGAAAAATTTAAATCTGCATGGCACTTTACTCCAATTGGCTCATTCGCTTGCTTAAACTCAACGTTGATTCTGATTCCGTGTGAAAAAGTATTTGTTGTTAACATTCTTTTTTCATTCGGTTTTTCCAGTTACGAGTCCTTTTTTAAAGCTGATCGTTTTGTGTTCATTTTATTTAGTTTTTTTTTTCGTAACAGATTTAATGTTTAGTATAGAGCTTAGAAAAAATTCGCAGTGTGAGATAGGCAAGAAGTAAGGCATATAGCAACATCAGCACGGCAAAGGGCACTCCAAAAAAAAAGGCAAGGAAGGGCAAAAAATATTTTAAGTCATGTGATAGCGATTGCTGTATGAGTCGTACGATTTTTGAATCAAGCACGGGCAACGCCGGGCCATGCTGCTAATTAGAAAATATAATGGCTTCACAAGATGTATTTTAGTCTTAGCCGGCACCCGTGCTCATTCGAGCATCCTTATTCTCTTTGTCCTCAACTACCACTCTTAGCGGTGGCGAAGATGGCTACTCCTTTTTTTCTATTTTGTTAATCATTTCACCTCAATCAAGACGGTAATGCCACTAGAAAACAAAGGGTTACAGCAAGTGAAAGCGAAAGAGGAGACTGGGAATAGTGGGGGTCAGGAAATGACAATAGGTAAATGGGGTTCAAGAAGACAGAAGATAGCGATTGATGTTGCATTTAAACTTTTGAAGATTGTAATTATCAGGGAATCAAGGAAATCGAGGGGAGTTCCACAGGTGGGAAGTGCAGGAAAGACTGTTGGAATAGAAGTCGCCCTAATAGTTATTTCAAAAGTAAAAGGGGGTGAGACCTAAATTCCAATTTAGTAGCACGCTTAAATTTATATATTCGAGGCACCAGGGGGAAAAAACCTTATCAGAGCAGTTTATGTGAAAATATTTGTAGAAAAAATACTATTAAAAATGGAAGGCAATCAAAGAACGAGAAGACAAGATAATGATTGACATTGCATTTAAATTTTTGAATATCAAAGTTGACAAGGAAACAAGAAGCCGGAAGAGAGTTTCACAAGTGAGAAGTGCGATAGAAGAAACTATTAGCATAGAACTTACGGTTACATCTATCCATTTCAACTCAAAATTATTAAAACTATCTGCTAATCAAGTGCTACACTTAAACTCATAAAGTCTAGGTACCATAGCGGAACGTTCATCAGAATGATTACCATGAAAGCATTTATAGCAAAGAATAATGTATGCTTCATTTTGTAGAAGCCTATAATTTATACTGGCGTCTTTAGAAGCCTATAATTTGTATTGATTTTTTAGAAGCTTATAGGTTTTGCTGACATTTTTGTAGTTGTAGAAAAGACAGAGGTAAGCTACGAGATGCCCGATGAGGATCGATGACATTACAAATCATTCTTTGGATTTTGTCAAGAATCTTGAGATGTGCAGCAGAATCACTAGAACAGATATTACAGCAGTATTCAAATGCACGGATGAATAGTGGATTTGTACATTTTCAAGATGGACGAGAAAAACTTCCTGGCACAATACAATGATCCCACTTTCTTTGCAGTAGAAGTAGTTATTTATTCGATAGAGTTGCTCCACGTCAATGGAAAACATGAGACCAAGAAGGCATAGTTTGTTGCACCTACCCCCCCACCACCACCACCACCGGAGACTAGCCTCAATCATTCTGATGGCAGACAAAGGTTTCTCTATGGTGGTTAAGTGAAAGCAGTTTTGTTTAGGTGGCGTTAAAATTAACAAGATATTTCTTACTCCACTAAACCACATAACCTGAAGAGCTGTGAGTTGCAGTTGGACTCGAACGTCTTGTCCCCATTCCGGATAGTCCTACGCCGGAAGGGCAATTTGCAGTAACAGTATCTCAAGTCTCAGGATCGATATTGTCCTGTCTCAGGAATGTCTTCAACTGATACTTGAAGAGTAGCCTTTTGCCGCTGGCGATCTCTAAAAAAAAGAAATGGATGTTATGTGAGAGTCGAGTGGGACGCATTCTGAACACGTGACTTGCCTAGCAGAAATGATGTTGAAGGAGGGTAGCGTTGATGCTGGGGAGAGATGTCCGAGAGAGGAGCTCATTGTTGGTGATGCGGTCCCCTCAACTCATGCGAAGGATTCTTTGGGGCTTCGTTTGTTAGAACCGTTCTAGAGATTTGATGTCCCGACAGTACAAAGTCCAGGCCTCGCAAGCGTACAGAAGGGTGTAAAAG